GGACAAGTTCTGGTACCTAGTACAGTGATGGTCACACAAAAGCCCTCAACTAGACTCTGGATTCTTCAACTAGAGCCAGAGGCCTGTCACTTCATCTGTCAGTATTTCAGTTTCTCCAGCTATAGGATGAGTGGTATAGCCCTGAACAGGGGTGACATTCAAATGCTTATAAGCAGCCAGGCAGGTAATGGAAATGAGCAAAGTTGGCTGTTTTAGACTAAGGTAAGGTGGGGACTGCAGCAAATCAGAGAAAGAACTCAGGTCTTCCTTGCAGGGTAGCTCCAGGCAGTTGTTGCCATGCAGTGATGTGAACCAGGGCTGCCAGGTTAAGGAAAGCCAGCAATCCAGATTCTTCGTGTGACATCTCTCAATTTAAAATTAACTCACTTAACAAATAACTGTTGAGTGCCAACTGTGTGCCAGGCACTCTTATGGGCAATGGGGATAAAGCAGTGAACCAAACCGACATAATTCCTGTCCTCATGGAACTTACACTTTAGCGGCTAATGAACAAGTAGGCCACATGTATCAGGCGGTCGTCGGTGCTGTGAAGAAAACCAAGCAGAGAGGGGGAAGAAGGGATAGGGAGTGTTGAGATTGAGGCTGTGGTTTAGGGTAGGGCATCTATGTCAGTTTTAACTGTTGGACATTGATGGCAAATGTTTGTAAACACTGCAGGCCAAAGGATCTGTCCATGGCTGGATAGTGCCTGAGCACATGCCTGTCTGTGGGCACAGCCTTTTTGGCCCTAACACTTGGAAGAGCCCACATGTTACCAACAGCTCTCAGAGAGCTTTTCTTTCTGTAGTGGAATCTGGCTCACTTGGTCTATTTGGGTTAACAGACAATGTGAATGCAGGCTGGTGGCCTGGGCTGGTCTGCTGCCTGTTTGCCTTCAGATCCCTAGCATATTTCTGGCATAAGGAGCTTCTCTGTGGCTCTTGCTAGACAAGCCACCATGGTTCTAGCTTCCACCAAGTGCTCCAAGTATCTGAGTTCAGGTGACAGATAATCCTCCCTCTACCTCTACTAGGGCACTTACTAACCTCTGGGTTTCCTCACTGTCCCATTAGGTATCTCAGCCCTTTTATTATCTGTGAAATCCATTCCTTGAATTAAGGTCCCTCTGTTCCTAATACTCTAGTAGTTTCTGTTTCCTGTTAGACATTTATTGATACAGTGTCACCTGCCACTGATTTGATGCCTCTAGGGATAAGTGCAGCACCCTGATAAGCATCTTCCCTCAACATTTGATGGGCATATGGGGCAATATGGGATATTGTTACTAGGCTGAAGCAAATCTTTTAAACTGAATGAACCTCAGATTCTGTAGCAGTAGAATAGGTATAAAAATACCCTCCCCATATAATTCCAGAGTTGCTATAAATATTAAATTTTTAAAAAACATGAAAATGTCTTATAAACTAATATTATATCAGAGCTCATCTCAGCTCCACTCTTACTGGCTGTATGGTCACAGGCAACTTTATTAACCTCTCTGAAGTTAATCATGAGAGAAAATAATCATGAAGTTAATCTTAAAATATCTTATAAGATTGTTTTGAAGTTTAATGAGATAACCAATTATAAGTTCAACAGAATACCTAGCACTTGGTAGGGATGGTAACTGTTAGCTTCCTCAGTTTTACAAGTAATTTTGCAGGTAAGTTACTGAACTTCCCAACCACTCTGAATCCTGAAATTCTTCAACTATGAGAATGACAACACCTGTGTAACAATTAAATGTTCAGATACTTGTAAACCTGTTACATATATTCAGGGTGTTATTATTTTGAATAGAGCCTCTCCCTGAAATTCTTTCTTACCCCAGAAAGAGTCTGAGTGAGAAACTGTTGTCTACACTCCTGGGCACATGGGTGGCACATGCTGTGCCCCATATAGCTCGGGTTTGGGCTCACCAGATGTTCAAGACTGATTCCAGGCACCCAGAGTGGAGGCCCAGGCTGTTGAAGACCTTATCATGTGCCTTCTGTGTTGGGTTGGGTGGGTCTTGTGTATGCTCAGAGCAGAACTGATATTAATAACTGACATCTTTATGGGAGTTGTGTCCAGCCTGTGCACACTGGTGGGGACCCAACTACCTGGGTTTGAATCCTGGCTCTCCCGCTTGCCCACTGTAACTTGGACACATTACTTACTTAACCTCTTGTGCTCCTGTTTGGTCTGAAATTAAAGATAAGAACACTAATTTCACAGGGTTGCTGGAGGGATTGTATGAATGAATCCATGTGAAATGTTTAGAATATTATCACACCCAGAAAGTATTCAGTTAGGTTGATGATCATTATTGTTATTATTAATATTTTCTTATAATGAGAGAGTTGTCTTCCAAAATCAGTGTGTATGCACACTCAAGTGAAAAGGGGGAGGAAAAAAACCTGACCTTGCAAATCCCATAGCAAGAAGCATTCTTGGAAGATCTCTGTCCAGGACTTGAACTTGACCAGGGTCCCAATTGAATGTTGAAAATTGGTGTTTGTGGCCAAAGGCCAAAATCCGCATCTGGTAACCAACTGGGACTGTGAGCTAGCAGAATGCGGGGTAGAGAAGGACTTACGTTCCATGGTACAAGGAAATGCACTTAGAGATATTAGACTCGAAAAATCAAATGTGTCGTGTTAGCTGGATTGACTTAGCTGCTTTATTTTCTGCAGAAATAGAGAGAACTCTATTTAAATTCAGCTCCCTGGAGAACTAAAATAGTTTTATAATATCCATTTCTCAAGCCTAAATTTCCTCAGAGATCCAGTGATTCTAATAAGGGGTTATGGACATAGATGCTGGGAAAACAGGCCGCAGCTGCCATAGAACCATCTTAAGAATTTGTGACCAGCCCAGCCAGCAGTTGAGCATCAACCTAGGATCCAGGAGATCGCAGTTCGATTCCCGGTCAGGACACATGCCCAGGTTGCGGGCTGAATCCCCAGTTGGGGGCGTGCAGGAGGCAGCCCATCAATGACTCTCTCATCATTGATGTTTCTCTCTCTCTCTCTCTCCCTCCCTTCCTCTCTCGGAAATCAATAAAGATATATTTAAAAATAAAAATACAAAGAATTTGTGACCAGCTTCTCTCCAGGATAAATATAACTAGACAAGGTTCTCATCTCTCCACCAAGCTATGACTATTGTATGCCTTGTCATTAGAGTAGAAACCAGGTTTCACTCTACAGCCTCCTTTCCTGAAAATAGAGTGCCAACTATATGCATCAGTGACAAAATGTCCAATGGGATGATCTATAAGCACCTCAAAGTCAGCATAACCTACCCAAACACATAAACACACAGTCATGCCCCCAAACTAGCCTAAGTAACTGTCTTCTGTGTTCCCACACTGCCTTACACTCCTCTCCTCTTAAACATATCTTTCTGTTTCCTGGCTACTTCCATTAGACAGTGTCTCTCATGAGGTCAGGAACCGTATCTTTCACCTCTGTAATGTAGCACCTGGCACAGTGCTCAGCACGTAGTAGATGGTCCATAGTTGTTGGTTGAATGAATAAAAGAAGGAAAGACTACAGGGAAGATCCAGCCAGCTCTTTCTCCAGTGAGAGCTTGTCATTGGTTTCTCCATTTGTAAGAGACGGAGCTGCACTTAATGACTTTTGATGTCTCTTTTCTGAGTTTGACACGGGCATACAAGTGTCTACCAAAAATAACTAACTTAAGAGCTAAAGAAGTCAAAAAATGCAGCATAAAGTTCTGTGGCAGCATTAAGCTAAAATTTGGGGACTTAAATTCTGGTTCCAGTTTCACCATTTAGTAGCCCTGTGGTCTTGGGCAACTCAGTCTCTCTGGTTCTTCTTCGTCTCTTTGGTAAAATCATTTTGAGTGGGTGAACTTTAAAACCTCTTTCATGCTGAAATTCTGTGATTCACAGAGTGGCGTTTCTGGAATTTTAAAACATTTTAAGTGGTAAGACTCAGTGGGCCCTCAAGTGAAGGGTGAGTCTAGTCTCTGCTATGACCAAGCCAGAAAGAGCAAAACACCTCAAGTTTACATAACACAATTTGCTTCTGAAGGCTCATTGGAAATGTCAGACTCCCCAAAGGGAGGGCCTCATAGTGATCCTCAGAATTAGTAGGCATGATGCCCCAAAGTCAAAGCCAACTTGTGGCCTCTCGATTCTTGGTCTGGTATGATTTCCCCTAGCCCATGTGAAGGGAAGTTTATAAAATTGGCACTCGGTGTTTGCTTTCAGACTTCCTTGGCCCCTTTCTCACTACTCTCCTTTAATTTTGCATGATAAAAACAATAGTATTTTTACATTCTAAATATAAAATTATAATATCACATGGACTGTACTTTTTCACACTCCACAGGCCACTCATAGCTCCACAGTCCTGCCCTTCTCCTGAGATTCATTATGTCCCCTTGGGAGCTGAGTATCTTCAGTCTAGGATGTCATAGGAAGGCCTATTTGACTGGCCTGGGCAGCCAGGTCCTCTGTTGCGTCTATTTTGCATAATCATCAGTAGGAGAGGCAGTTCCTTAGTCAACAGATTAATACCTATTGAGTATCTCACATACAAAGCTCTGTGGTATAGTTCCTATCCACAGAGACTTCACAGCAGATTTTTCTAGTGTTTGTTACCAGATGGTAAAATCAATAATGAGCAAGTTTTTCTTTCCTTAGTGGACGTAATAAAATTCACTCAAGTACAACAGAAGTAAACACAATAGAAAAAAAAAGGGGGAGGGGGCAAGTATATCAGAATGCATCCCATCCATAGGATAAAGTATTATTTTTGTGAAACTTTGTTTCAATTGCACATATGTTCATGATACAGCATGATGTAAAAATGTATTTCTTGTATGGATTGTAACTTTTAAAATATTTGAAAAACACTGCCCTACAGTATATTCAGAAATACAAAATTGTATCACTGAGATATGAAATGGTGAGGAGGAGGAGATGGAGAGTCGTGCAATATGGGAAAGAATAATGGCCTTGGGACAGGAACTCAGTGCAGGGAGTTGTGATGAAGAGGGGGGTCCTGCTAGGGAGGCAGGACTGTGGAGAAGTGACAGTGGAGCTGAGCGTTCGGGGCAGTGGGGGGTACGATTTAGTGAGCTGACTGGGGAGAGGAATCACATCTGGGAGCTCGGTGTGAACACAGCTACCCTGATTCTTCTTGAATTTCAGCCCTGCTATGGGAAGGGGGCTGATCTTGGGGCCTTAGAGTTCCAGGGGACTGTTGTATTTCTCTGTTTCCTCCTTTCCAATCCCTTTTTCTCTTTTTCTGGATCTTCTGTTATTCAGATATTGGATCTCCTGGCTCAATCCCCAGGTTTTCTTTTCTGTTTTCTACTTCTTTGCCCTGTTTACTTGACTCTCTGGAAGATTTCCTTCAACTTAATTGTCCAACCTTTCTTCTGAATTGTTAAATTTCGTATTTTTCATTTCCAGGGGCTCTTTGATCTCTGAACATTCTATCGTTATGGCATTCTGAGGATGTTCTGGGTGGCGGTGGAGGCAATACCTTCCCTTACCTCTCTGAGAATATTGATTGAGTGAAGTTTTTTCTGCCGTCTCTACATCTGTAAGAAATTCCAGAACCTATTTTTTCACTGCCCTTTGTACTCAGGCTGTTTTTTCTACCCTGTGGCCATACCCAAGCTCATTATAGAAAGTTCCTTAGCAGCTGTGCCTCCTGTAACTGGGTTATTTCTGATTCTAGAGTCATCACAGGTTGCTCCTGTCTATCTCTTAAGCCCTGTGTACTCTCTGCCTCTAGGAAGAGGTGTCCTATGAGGAAAGGACCTGTGAAGGCGGGAAGTTTGCCACAGTGGAAGTGACAGATAAGCCTGTGGATGAGGCTCTACGGGAGGCAATGCCCAAAGTCATGAAGTATGTGGGAGGCACCAATGACAAGGGTGAGTATCCCTGAAGGATGTGGCTCTGGTCTCGGAGGCAAGCCTTGCATTGTCTTCACTTCATCAGTGGAAAACACTAGGGAGGGGCCACAGGGCACCTGCACTACCTGTTTCAGGGACACAGGAACTTGCTGTGCTGCGTGGGCATGGAAGCTTCTAGAGACCACACTGACTTCAGCCCAGCCTACCCCTCTCTGTGTAGTATCTCTGCTTGATATCACAGTTCCTGCTTTTCTCTCGGATACGGAGATGCGTACTCTGTTTGGTTTGTTTGTTTGTTTTTAACCTTACAGTGCTTATCATGTCTTTGGATTGGTGGACTGCATGAAGTGTGCCCACGGTAAGCCAAGCCACAGAGAGAGGGCCAGCCTCTGACTGGAGACGTCTACCCCCAGGCTGGAGATCTCCACTCAGCCACCTGGTAGCTCAGAGTCTGTGGGGTTCTGAGTGTCAGCGAATGATGACTACAGCCGGTTCCTGGCTCTGTTCTGGCTTTAAAGGAAGGGTCTGAAAATTCTAAAGCTGTCCCACTCTTAGAGACTTGGCAGTCGGTGCAGGCTGTCTCCCTGTTTTAAAATGCTAGGCCTGAAGTTTCTGTGTACCTGTTAGCATGTAAACTGCATGTAAATATGAATTTAACTCTTAAGCTCTCGAGTTTGAACTATACTTTGGTATCAAACCCAAAATGGGTCAGAAAGCAAGGTGAGAAAAGAAATGTCACCCTGGCCTGGTAGCTCAGTCAGTTAGAGCTTCATCCATACATGCCAAATTGTGGGTTCAATCTCCAGTCAGGGCACATGCAAGCAACCAATGAATGCATAAATAAATGGAACAGCAAATCAATGTTTCTCTCTTTCTCCCTTCCTCTCTCTCTAAAATCAATAAGTAAAATTTTTTTAAAAAGATGACATGTTTAATTTTTAGGATAGTTCTCAAGCTGATCATTTAGAAGGTTAGACACTGGTGTTAACCTTAGTAGCATTTACTAGAACCACAATAATCAGGCTTCAGACAGTGAGTTGACCTGTAGGAGGTTAAGAAGAAATCTTTTTCTGCTTAACACTATCATAACATATTTCATTAGAAAATATGTGTAAAAATTATAAAACTCATTAAAGAAAATCTTGAAAATAACAAAACATCCATCTTTTCTAGTACAATCATTGTTGCCTTTTGCATGTATTTCTTTAGGGCCCTTTAATAGGCTTTTTAAATACAATCATAGTGTTTGTGTAATGTATATTTGGTTTCTGTTACTTATTTCATCACTATCTTCCACTGTTTCGAAATAGTCTTCTTCAGCATAAGTATTACTAGCTGCATTTTATTGCATCATGTGCCTATAATTTCCTTAGGCATATTCCTATTTGGAGCCTATTTATATGGCTCCCAGTTTCTCACAATTATAAATTCTGCCGCAATGAGTATCCTATTACCTACAGCCTTTTCCGTATTTTGGATATTTCCTTAAAATTTATATTTAGATAGAGAGTAATTAGGTACTGATATATTTATGGTCTTGATATATATTACCAAGTAATTTTTTCCAAAAGAGTTGTCTCACAACACTCCTACTTCCAATATACGCAAATTGAAGGTCTTTTGTGTGTGTGTGACTACATATTTTTAATGCCTCAAGTGTTTATTATTAATTTCGTGAACAGAAAATATTACCGTGGAAGTAGAATGACACTAGCAGATCTTCCACAGGCCTGAGCAAGTCCTGTCTCCCATTCCCACCTCCTTCCATCGGTTTTTCTGTTTGCAGGAATTGGGATGGGAATGACAGTCCCTATCTCCTTTGCCGTGTTCCCCAGTGAAGATGGCTCCCTTCAGAAGAAAATCAAAGTCTGGTTCCGGATTCCAAACCAGTTTCAGAGCAGCCCGCCAGTTCCCAGTGACGACAGCATTAAGATCGAGGAGAGGGAAAGCATCACCGTCTATTCCATGTAAGGAGACCATTCTCTAGGCACCCAAGGTAGCACTTGGATCTTCTGCAGCGAGCATTTGCATTACATTATATTTTCCCAGTTCTATTGAGATATAATTGACATATAACCTTGTATTACTTGAAGGTGCACAACGTAATGCTTTGATAAATGATTACCACAATAAGTTTCATTAACACCCTCACCTGACATAGTTATAAATTCTTTTTCTTGAGATCAGAATTTTTAAGGTCTACTCTCTTAGTAACTTTCAGCGATACAATACAGTGTATTGTTAACTGTAGTCACCTTACTGTATATTACATCACTGGAACTAATTTATCTTACAGCTGGAAGTTTGTACCTTTTGACCACCTTTACCCATTTCTCCCACCCTCCACTTTTGGCAACTACCCGTATGTTCTGTGTATCTATGAGTTCATTTTTTTTAATTCCACATATAAGTGAGCTCTTACAGTATTTGCCTTTCTCTGTCTGACATTTCCTTTAGCATAATGTCATCAAGGTCTGTCCATGATGTTGCAAATGGCAAGATTTTCTTTTTTTGTGGCTGAATAATATATATATATAATCTCACATCTTCTTTATCCATTTATCTGTAGATGGACACTTAGTTTGTTTCCAGGTCTTGGCTATTATAAATAATGCTGCATTCGACATGGGGATTCAGATATCTCTTCAAGATAGTAATTTTATTTCTTTGGGATATATATACTCTGAAGTGGAATTACTGGATCATGTGAAAGTTTTCTTTTTAATTTTTTGAGGACTCTTTCTACTGTTTCCCACAGCGGCCACACCAATTTATATAGCCACCAGCAGTGCACAAGGATTCCCTTTTCTTCACCTCCTCAACAATGCTGTTATTTCTTGTCTTTTGTACAATAGCCATTCTAACAGCTCTGAGGTCATACCTCATTGTGACTTTGACTTGTATTTCCCTGATGATTAGTGAGGTTGAGCACCTTTTCATGTACCTTTTGGCCTTTTGCATATCTTTTTTGGCAAAATGTCTATTCAGATCCTCTGCCCATTTTTTAATCAGATTGTTTGGCTTTTTTGCTATTGAGTTATGTGAGTTTTTTATGTATCTGGATATTAACCCCTTATCAGATTTGTAACTATTACCCCTTATCAGATTTTCCCCTTATCAGATTAACCCCTTGTCAGATTTTCAAATATTTGCTCGCATCTGGTAGCTGCCTTTTCATCTTGTTGGCAGTTTCTTTTGCTGTGCAGCTATTTAGCCTGATGTAGTCCCACTTGTTTATTTTCATTTCCTTTATTTTTGGTGTCAAATATAAACAACCACGGTCACGACTGATGTCAGGAAGCTTACTATGTACTATGTTTTCTCCTAGGAATTTTATGGTTTTGGGTCTTACGTTCAAGTCTTTAATCCATTTTAAGTTGATTTTTGTATATGGGTAAGATAGGGGTCCAGTTTCAATCTTTTGCATGTGGCTGTCCAGTTTTCCCAACACCATTTATTGAAGAAACTATCCTATCCCCATTGTCTATTTTTCCTCCTTTGTTGTAAATTAGTTGACCATACGTGCATGGGTTTATTTCTGGGCTCTCTATTTTGTTTCGTTGATGTGTGAATCTATTTTTATGCCAATGCCATATTGTTTTGATTGCAATAGGTTTGCGATATCATTTGAAATCAGGAAATGTGTGATACCTCCAGCTTTGTTCTTCTTTCTCAAGATTTTCTGGTTATTCAGGGTCTCTTATGGTTCCATACAAATTTTAAGATTGTTTTTCTATTTCTATGAAACCTTCAGTTGGAATTTTGAAAGGGATTGCATTACTCTGTAGATTGCTTGGGGTAGTGTGGACATCTTAGTGACATTCCTACAATCTGTGAGCCTGGATTATCTTTCCATTTAATTGTTTCTTCCATTTCTTTCATTTATGTCTTATAGTTTGCAGTGTACAGATCTTTCACCTCCTTAGCTAAATTTATTTCTAGATATTTTACTCTTTTTGATGTAATTATAAATGGGATTGTCTTCTTAGTCTCACTTTCTAAATTTATAATGTTGATTAATTAAGAAGTATTGAGTCCTGACAATTCCTCACTTCAGTGTCTTCAGCCGACAGCACACAAATGTTTGCATTGTATCTGAATAAATGCCTTTGTCAGTTGACAAATTGACTTGGATATAAAGAATAGCCCTTCTGTTTAAACTGAACACATATATTAGCCACAACAGGATTCTGGGAGACTTGGAAAAAGCTAAGTCAAGCTGTAGTTTGGGGTCATAAATACATAGGAAACATAAAGGGCTGGGGATACCTCATTTTTGCCTCACACTTCCCTTAAATGCCAGAAGAGCAGGGAGTATATGCCAGAGCTGGACTGCCACCCCCTTAGTGGTTCATGGCCTGTGATCCTTCGAGCAGAGCACATATGCCTCCTGTTGTCACTCTAGTCCTGTCCCCAGGGTCTCATTTGTGGCCATGTTCGCATGACTGCAGTGAGTACCAAGGGCAAATGGTTACATGTCTTTATTTTTTGGGCCCCAACCTCCCGTTAGAAACCAAGTCTTTTCTAGATAATCAGTGACCCTCCATTTGTTAAAGTCCTACTGTGTGATGGGCACCAAACCATGTACAGGCGACGCCAGGGGCATCACCACTGGTAACCACAGGTGGGGGGTTGGTTCTACTCTACAACCTCGTGGAAAATACATATATAATTAATCTTGCACTGGACAGTTTTTGTCCACTCACTGGGGAGCCTCCAAACTTAGTTATTTGCCTGCCTTGCTCCAACTCTACACCTGAGGGTACAGTTTTCTCTGGAGCCAATGCACGCTGATAATGTGAGCCTGGCCGAACTGGGCAGTTAGGCCAGGCGACCTAGTTCCCCCCAGAGGACAGTGAGTGTACTCCAGTGGGCAGCAAGCGATGGAGACCTCCGCTCTTCTACCCCAGTCTTCAGTCAGACTCTCCAGCCTTCCCTGCAGAGGCTGCATAGAAAGCAAACTCTAATTAAAGAATATCTTCCCCAGTGCAGGGACTAGGGTGGGGAAGTGAGGCGCCTGCGGTGCAAGATTTAAAGAGGCGCGCATGCTCAGTTGTCCAAGTGCAGGATTGGCACTGAGAGTGAGTACCTCCTTCAGTCTTGCACACTGGGCATCTCAGCTGTCTCACCCCAGGTCCCGCTCCTCTTTTCTATTCTCTTTCCTGTGACTTGGGAGGCATCTTGGTGTAATATAATGAAATATTTTAGTATATTTTAGTTTGAATCCCAGGATGATGCTTGGGAAGTTTTCAAGACTTACCTTCCCCATCTGTTAAGTGCTGGTAATATAATCTACCTCATAGGATTATTGTTAAAGAGTATCTTTCAATATTTACTAAGATACTATTTATAAATGACTTAATGTTTATGACCTGGAGTAGGTTTCAGTAATTATTCTTTCTCTTTGCCCTTCTTATTTTATAAAGATTGAGGTTGCCCAGCCGGGCGTGGCTCAGTAGTTGAGCAATGACCTACGATCCAGACGATAGGGGTTTGATTCCCGGTCAGGGCACATGCCCGGGTGGTGGGCTCGATCCCCAGTCGGGGCCGTGCAGGGGGCAGCCAATCAATGACTCTCTCATCATTGATGTTTCTCTCTCTCTCTCTCTCTCTCTCCCTCTCCTTCCCTCTCTCTGAAATCAATAAAGATATATTAAAAAAAAAAAAAGATTAAGGTTGACATGATTAAATTAGTTCACATAAGGCTTCAACTAGACAGAGCTAGTTCCTAATCATTTGCATTGCCAGATCCAGGATAGCGAGTTGGTACAATGTTTTTCATTTGTCTTTAACTTTTTGGTATGGAAACTTTCCAACTTATAACAAGATCGCAGGAATAAGATAATGAAACACTGTGTACTCATCGCTCACCTTCGATGACAGTGAACTCAAGGCCAATTTTGTGTCACGTGTACTGTTACAGCTTCTACCCAGACCTACCCTGGATCAGGTTTAGGTGAATTCCAAATATTGTATTATTTCGTTCATAAATATTTTAATGTGACTGCTGAAGACTTTTGAATACATAATCATAGTAACTTATTACTCCTAACATTTTAGCAGTAACTCATTAACAATATAAAACACCTAGTGCTCAGATTTCTTCCATTATCTCATAATTTGTTTTCACAGTTTGTTTGAATCTGGATCCAGATAAGATCCATCCATTGCAGTTGGCCGGTACACCCTTTACGTGTTTATTAACACACAGCTTTTCTCACCCCACGTCTTCTCATTTTTTCCCTGCTGTTTATGGATCATTATTAGTCCAGTTGTTTTGCAGTCTGAATCCTGCTGGTTGCCTTTCTGTGGCTTTTTAACACGTTCTTCTGCCCACTATGTTGTCTGGAAATTAGTAGTTGGAACCAGAGGCGTGATTAGATTCAAGTTTGAGCTTTTTGCCAGGATATTTCCTGGGTGGCGGTGTAGGCCTTCATCAGGGGCTCGAAGCATCTGCTTGCCTCTGTTTTTTGATGTTAGTGATCATACGTCACCCTCACCTAGAGGCCTTGTATCATTAGAGGTTGTAAAATGATAATGTTCTCTATTTTCCCTCTTTATGTATTAGCTGGAATCCTTTGATAAAGAAAACCTTCCCCTTATCTACTATTTAATTCCCCTGAGGCAGAGGCAGAGTGAAAAGCTAGATGCCTCCTCTTTAGTCTGATACCTTCTCTTTGTTAATCAGTTTTCAGAATCATGATTTTATTCCTTAACAGCCTCCAAGGTGAGGTAGTGTTGATCTCTTTTTTTTGAGTATCAATATAAATATCTGAATTTAAACGTAAATGGTACATTTCGGTTCTTTTCTGCTTTTTAAAATGTTTTTGTTGAGTGTGAGAGAGAGAGGGAGTAGAGAAACATTGATGTGAGAAATATTGATTGGTTGCCCCCCACACACCCCCCAAGCGGGGGTCAAACCCTCAACCTGGACATGTGCCCTGACCAGGAATCGAACTGGCAACCT